GTCACAGTGCTAGATGGCAGAGGCGTGCACGCTTTTGACCACTTGGAGAGTCGAAAGGAGAATTGTTGTTTGTGGGGGTGGCATTCAGTGTTGGTCATGAGATTCCTCTCAGGGAGGTAGTTTTGATCCCAATTGTGGTAGCTGGGGTGGGGCAGCCTCATCATGAGGTGATCTGCTTGCAAGATTCCATTCTTGGAATCTCGACACCATAGAAATTCCTCTTATCTTGGTGTTTTCAGCCTCAAGGAGAAGAGATAGCACAGGCAGACTCCAGACTGATTGACCTTGTGTACCAGCTTTTATAGATGTTCTTTGAGTGATCAGATGATGTTTTTTGAGCAGAGTTGAGCAAGAATCTGACTCAGAGTTGAAGGTTGCAAAAAGACAATAATGTGGATGGAGACAGTGAGGGTCAGCTCCTGGGCGGATTCTCCACCCCACCTCCCTTGAAAGATGCCAAACTTTTATCCTAGGTTCTGTTGCCCTTTGGGCAACTGAAGAGTTTGTTTTTAGACACTGTGAAGTATATCACGATGGTCTTTTCTTTTTAGGTGAATAGTGGCACAGAGAGATGAGTCTGAGGCACACAGCTAGCAGAGGGAATGGACTACCTTGTTTGACAACTATCCCTGGGTATCTACTCTGTAGTAGGCCTCGGAGGCTCTGAGATAAACACGCATGTGATCGATGTGTTCTAGGACTCTGTATATGCTTTGTGGGTAGGCAAAGGAATTCGAGGAGGAGGAGGAGGAACTGCCAATGTCCGCAGTTCTGTGTAGCTAGGGCACTGGCCATGAATTGAAGAGGTTGTAGGAGAGATGCTAGGGTGGCTGCAGGCAGGTGTTCATGGGTCAGGCTGGAGCCTCTGGCTCTCGTTGAGGTTACCTTGTTTTGCATCAACTGCAGCAAAGATGGAGAACAGATCTGTGGTCTGGTTTCAGGGTGGTTGAGTCTTATTTTCTACTGCTGGGATGAATGCTGAGGTTCAGCCTGCTATCGGTGAGTGGGTGGTTGTTGACAGTCACTTGGGTGGATAAACTTTTTTTGTTTTATTTCATGTTTTTTTTTTTTTTGGTTTTTTCAAGACAGGGTTTCTCTGTGTAGTTTTGGTGCTTGTCCTGGATCTCGCTCTGTAGACCAGGCTGGCCTCGAACTCAGAGAGATACGCCTACCTCTGCCTCCCAAAGTATTGGGATTAAAGGCCTGTGCCACTACGCTCTTGACATGGATGGACAAACCTTACAGAGGTATACATGTGGTTTCTGGAAGCCTCTGGAGCCTGCTAGAAGAGGACATTGGCTATGTAGCTGACGTTCTATTGGTTAGGAGGTGAATGAGAGCTGGTGACATGCAGGATGAAGGCAGAGGCAAATCCTACTCTGAATTCCCTTCCTTGGCATTAGCTATTTTTTGAGACAGTGTGTTAGGTAGCCCAGGCTGGCCTTGAACATGTGTCACTGAGGATGACATTGAAATCCTGTCTCCCAAATGTACTAACACACACACAGTTTACATGGTGCTGGGGATTGAACTCCAGACCTTGTGCATGTTAGGCAAGTAGTCTACTGATTGACAACATCACAAGCTCCCTACCTGGACGCCGAGAAAACCTTAAACGCGGGCCTTTCGAAGGTTTTGCAAATGGTCTTGGATATGGGGGGGTTGAGAGTAAAAGAGAGAGAGTTCCTTTTTTTTTTTTTTTTTTTTTTGGTTTTTCGAGACAGGGTTTCTCTGTGTAGCTTTGCGCCTTTTCCTGGAACTCACTTGGTAGCCCAGGCTGGCCTCGAACTCACAGAGATCCGCCTGGCTCTGCCTCCCGAGTGCTGGGATTAAAGGCGTGCGCCACCACCGCCCGGCTGAGAGAGAGTTCTTTAATGTGGGTGATAGACACTGAGGTGCCTTAAAGTGACGGGCCTTCCTGGCTTTTGCAACCCGTGTGTTCCTGCCAGACATCCATGACCCTGCAGTGGAACCTTTATGAGATGGCACACAACTTGAAGGTACAGGAGAAGCTGCGGGCAGAGGTTCTGGCTGCCCGGCGCCAGGCCCAGGGAGACATGGCCAAGATGGTGCAGTTGGTCCCACTCCTAAAAGCCAGCATCAAGGAGACACTGAGGCAAGCCCAGTATACCCATGCCTTCCCACCCCCAGGCCCTGGGGAAGGGTTCCAAGGATGGGCTAGTGGAGATTAGAAACAGGAAATAAGGAGTTTGGAAGAGGCAGTAGGACTGGGGAACTAGAGCTAGATCCAGGTCCTGCCTTAGTTTCTCCCTGGGGTGCTGTAGTGGGGGGCTGAAATGCCCAGCTGGTGTGGGAGCCAGGGTGGGGGACATGTCCTGGTTCCAGGATCTGGGACTATCTATCTCTGAGGGTTCTCTTTCTGCAGACTCCACCCCATCTCCGTGACCTTGCAGAGATATCTTGCGAACGACCTGGTACTTCGTAATTACAGGATTCCTGCCAAGGTAGGACTGAGGGGCTCTGCCAGTCAGATGGAGGAGAGGAGGGAGCAGGCTTCAATTCCAGGCAGATGGTGGTGACGGGGGCTCCTTCCTGAGCCTTTCTTCCTGATGCTGGGGTACACTGGTGGAGTACTCAGATGCAGCGGTCTCAGTTTGTGTGAACAGCAATGGTGGTGGGCATGGGGGGAGGTGATGAATGAATGCTGGAGTCCAGGGTTACAAGATTAGCCTGACTGTATTTCTGGGTTGAGAGTGAGGCAAGGGTTGAGAAAAGCATAGGAAAACCCCATGGGTTATTCCTTGTTTTGTGTCTTCAGCCTTCATCAATGCTTACAGAGTGGCAGGACCCTTGTTTGAAGCTACAGTGGGCAGAAGGCCCTGCCCTGTCCTGTTTTGGGTAGCTGGGCAGCCAGGCTTGGAGTCAGGGTTCCAAGGAAGCTGGGGCTAGGCTGTACTCAGGACAGTAGGGAGCTGGAACTGCTCAGGTGTTTTGCCTTGCTCCTAGATGTTGGTGCAGGTGGCTAACTATGCCATGGGCCGAGAACCCAGCTTCTTCCCCAACCCAAACAAGTATGACCCAACTCGTTGGCTGGAAAAAAGCAAAAATAACACCCACTTCCGTTACTTGGGCTTTGGCTGGGGTGTTCGACAGTGTCTGGGACGGCGGATTGCAGAGTTGGAAATGACCATCTTCCTAATCAACGTGAGTGGGGCTCTGGGGCATGTCAGCACCCTGGCGTTTCCATGGCCCCAATGAAGTCATCAACCCTCCTCCTTCCATCTCAGAATCCAGGGAGTTCAGGACCAGGGCTCATCCATCTCCCACAACTCTCAGCTTCCTCCTCATTTGGATGAGCCCACTTATTACCCATTGACATCCCCTGAGCATCTATCTGTCCCCACTCAGGAGGTGAGGTGGGAGAGATTGTTCAACAGACTACTTGTTAAGGTCAAAGCCATGGAACAGAGCATGCAGGGCCCATTTAGACACAGCGAGAGGCTGAATAGTTCGTGGCATGTTCTTTAGATCATACTCAACAGATCGACCCCACACCTAAAGATATCAAGTGTGTGTGACCTAAGGGAGACAAATTCTCCTTTCCATTTTCCAAGCCTACCTCCTTCTTCTTCAGGTGCTGGAGAACTTCAGAATTGAAGTCCAAAGTTTCCATGATGTAGGGACTAAGTTCAACCTCATCCTGGTGCCTGAGAAGCCCATCTTGTTCAACTTCCAGCCTCTCAAGCAAGACCTGGGCACAACCATGCTCAAACAGGGTGTCACCATCTGAACTGCAGGCTGGAGTCGCATGGGGAGATGGCCCAATGGGGGCCTTTGGGCAGGTGTATCTGTATTTCCAGAAACACCTGCTCCTTTTGGGTGGTTCTCAGTGACCTGCCTCGGTTAGCTGGGTCCTCCTTTCCTTCACCCTCTCTCCTTCTTTACTTACCCATAAAGTTAATAAACAGATGAACTCTGGGGAGTGTTTTCATTCCTTTCAGAGGCCTAAGGCATTCATTACTCCCATGGAGATTAACCCTGATCCCTGGTCAACAGTGGGATGAGGAGCATTTAGAAAGATGAGAAGCTGTTATACAGCCCAACTGTGACCCCCACACATACCATCATTCAGGAGATAGCAGAATTTATTCTAAGACTGCCAAGGGATCCAAATGAGATCTATCAGGAGAGGCTAGTACCATCATGCCAGAAGTTACCAAAATGGACCCAGGGAGCTCTGCTGTGAGAATAGAGTGGCCAGAGAGATGTGGGTAATTCCTGTCCTCCTGGGTGGAACCTCATGGAAGGTGGGGGTGGTGTGGGGTTCTGCTTGGCTGATTGCAGTAGCGGCCCCTTGTGGGGTTGTAAGGACTTTCTCCCAAGGCTCCTTCATCTTGGGCATGGCCATGGCCAAGGCCTGTGGTGAAACATCAAGTTAGTGAGAGGCTGAAGTGAGGTGATGGGGCCTGAAGACAGAAGGCCAATAGGCTTCCCACCCTTTGCCACCCATCCTGTGGGCACACCCCAGGTCTATTTTCTTGCTACAGGGGGATGTGTTCTAAGAGTGCAGGATGGGGTCTAGCTGAGAATTTGGTTTATATGACGTCTGTCCCTGTCCAGGTCTATCAAGTCCCTCTGGTTCTATATCTTGCCATGAGCAGGTGCCAGATTCTTGCAGCCCTTGGCTCCCCAAGGCAAAGAGGACCTTAAGTCTCCCCTAAGTCCTATAGATAAATGTTGAGGCTAGGCCATCTCAGAACAGCAGCCAAGCTGACTTGGTCTTTTCTAGGAAGGCTGAAGGTTCTGGGTCCACTCTTGAGCCTTTTGCTTCTCCCTAGTCCATGACCCTCCTCCCATGTCTCTCTCTGTCCTTCATGCTGCCTTTCTCTCCTCTCAAAGATGAGTCAGAAATGTCAGTGCTGAAAAGGTCCTCTTTGCCAAGACAGAGAGCTCTGCATGGGATAGATGAAGAATCTGGAGTTCAGAGAGCTTTCCAGTCACCCAGAGTCACCCAAAATGCTCATGGCCAGAACCCAGGAGACCTGGGACCCCAGCCCTCATAACTTCCTGCCTCTGACTACATTTGTACACCACATCATCAGTTCTGCCAGCCAGCATGGGATATTCGAGTGGTGTCATAGGAAGGCTTCAAGTCTTTCTGTTCCCAGGAGACTCTGAAGACCTAATCCTGAGTAAAAGGATATCAGAAAGGACAAGGTGCTGGGGACTGAGGGGAAACATGGCCTCTCTCCTATCTTGCACCTTATTTCTGGTCTCCGTGGTCTCTCTCTTCAGCACTCTCCAGGGATCATCATAGCTTTGGCTTTCCAGGCCAGGCAGTAGGTACAAGGCAGTCCCAGAGAGTCCAGGACCCAAGCTGGGTGTGAAAAGAACAGCTGATTCATTGCCAGCTGCCCTGCTTCAGGAAAGAGACAAATGCTTATTGAGTTATAGCATTTACTAAAGACATCTTTGGGGTGGGGATGACTTCCCAGCACACGGGGAAGGAGGCCAGCTCCAGGCTCAGGTCTTCTGGGGGTTAGAGGTCTCGATCTGGGAGTTTGAGAGTCTGTTGAGCTTCATGTCTGAGCTGGGTAGTGAGGGTTCCAGTTTGGAGGACTGATGGGGATCCTTGGCCACTCCAGCATTCTGTGACATATAATATATAGGACAGATAAGTACATCTCTGTTCCCAGGGTACATTGCCTCAGGGCATCTTGCCTGGCAAGTCATGCTTCTGAGGATCCAAACCCAGTAAGTAGGCTGTGGCATCTGAATAACTTTGGAGCCCATTTTATCACTGCAGGTGATGCCCAATTTCTCTGGGTCCCTAGGACTAGAAAACCTTGCAGAGGTAGTCCTATGCTCCCTGGAAGCCTTCAGGTTCTGACTTGTAGGGGGTAGTGTAGCCTTGGCTGCAAAGTGCTGATAGATAGAAAATAGGAGAATCAGAATCTTTTGCCGTAGGATATGAAGTCCCCAGGGCTGGGCTTGCAGGGGGCTGCTGTGGGTGATCTGCTTGTTCCTGGGAAGTAGGCAATGTGAATCTATCCCCAGTATTGATGTCATCTAGGAAGGAAGCTAAACAGAAATCTATTATACTAGAAATTGGGTGGGAAGAGGTACAAGGTATTCTGCCCTTGTGTGATGCCAGAGTAGAGCCAGAACATTCTAGAAATGCCTGTGTAGGCCATTTCTCACCCATAGTTATCTCCTCCTTGAGGTTCAGGACAACCAACAGGAAACGGGACATGTTGGCAGGCATTCCTATCCCTTCAGCTGAGTGGGAGAATGGAGGTCACTTGAGTATCCAGTTTGCTGACAGTAGGGACCTCAGCTCAAGACTTCGGATTCTTAGCTTAAGATCTATCCCCCAAGTTATTCTGAGGGCCCAGAGATTTGGGGGTGGGATGGCTCCTAGCCTACCACCTGGATCTCCAGGAACTTCCGTGTCAGGGTCACTCACAGGCTGGTCTATGATAATGGAGTTTGATGGGTGTCCAAAGCCATGTTGTTGCTCCTGAAGCCGTATGGCCAAGTTTTGCTTCTCTTGTGCCCAGCGGCGAGCTGAGTCCTCCAGCTGTGGACATGGAGAGGGGCGTTTAGAAAGCCAGCTGTCAGCCCAGCTCCTCCTCCAGAGCTAGGACAAACAGAGTTTGGGCCTGTCCTCTGGGAAAATGCAAAACTCTGGCAGCAGTAGAGGTGAGGGGCCAAACAGGCAGCCTAAGACACAGATAGATCTTCTTGGCAGTCCGTATGGAGTCCACACTGGGCCTTCATTCACTCTGGTCACAGACTAAGGCTGACCTGGTTACATAACGGGCCCTAATTCTGTAGTCACATACTGAGCCTTGACCCTACTTGTGTACTAAGCCTTGCTCCTGGCCAGAGGCTGAGCAGTGAGCCTGGTCCAGCCTGATCAACCGCAGCATCTTACCTACCTGGTTTTCCAGGGACAAGATCCGATTCTGAGCTTGTTCTAGCTTGGTGAGGAGGTTAAACTTGTCTGAAGTACCACCAAGGAGATCCTGTGGGAGCAGACACTCATGAGAGCTGAGGAAGCACAAGGTACTGCAGGAAAAACCAGCCAGGTATGGGTTTCACACTCAGCTGCAGATACAGAGCCTCACTCTCGGGCCAGGGCCTCTTTCTTAAGGTCTGTACAGGGCTTGATGTGCAATTTCCCCATGTTAGGAGAATCTGACGTTTAAAAAAATTTTTTTAGGTGGAATCACATATGTTCCAGGCTGGTCTTGAACTCACTATGTAAATGAGAATAATCTTGGCTTCTGATCCTCCTGCCTCGATCTCCAGAGTGCCGGGCTTACAGGCATGCACAGGTTTATGCAGTGCTGGGGATCGAACACAGGGCTTCATACATGCTAGACGAGCACTCTATCAGCTGAGCTACACCCCCAACTCACACCTAATGTTTCAACATACCAACTGCTTATGGAAAATGCACTAACGAGCTGCCTTTAATACCCAGAAGGTGGTTGAGCTGGGAGTCTTTCTGTAGATGAAGGCTCAGTAAAACAAAGGATGCCCATCTTTTTCATGCTTTACCTGTCTGCCCATGCACTGGGACACTCCAAACAGAACTAACTTCCTGGAGGACGAGGACCACTCACCTGCGTCCTCTTGCCACCATAACTCCAAATACTGACTTTGGGTTTGTGATCAGCAGGGGCACTTGAAAGAGCCTAGGCAGTGGAGTAGCCCCCGGGACACCCACCTGCACTGGCAAGGTCTCTGTGCCCTTGGAGTGGCCTGGGCCTTTTGTGTCTCGGAGCCTCTCTGCCAAGTCTCCACCTGCTCCCAACTCCCTGGGATCCACCTGGGATGGGGAAAAGGGCTCTCCAAGGCTGAACCAACACCAGAAGGTTCTGAGAGGCCCATGGTGGGAGGAGGGTGTCCAGCGGGGAGCAAGCCAGGTGGCAGGTGGAGTCAGGGTTCAGGGGTCAAGGGTGAGCCAGGGCCTTGCTCTCTCCCAGGGTGCTAGATGAGGGCAAGACATTCATCTTAGGAACACAAGGTCAAGGAGTGCAAAGTGTGAGTGTGAGTGTTTCCAGTGGCCCTGGGGGCTGGGAAGCCCAGACTCTGGGCTGGATCTTCAACCTGGCCCATGCTGGGGGTGATTGTGGAGTCCATGCTGACCAGCGGTGGCAGGCTCGAGCCAGGCACATGTTGGCAGCTCTTACCGGCAAGGCCTGCTGCTGCAGAATGATGGGGGCTGAGTGCTGGTGGTTCTTTTCCAACTCTGCCCGCAGCCTTGTGTTTTCTGCCAGCAGCATGGAGTAAAGATCAACAGCCACGTTCTCTCCCGTGGGGCCCATGTGAATGCCAGAGGCTGTGAACGCGGGGAAGGCTGTGAACATGGCCACAGGTGCTGGTGAGGTGGGTTTTCTTGCCCCCAAGGCCCCATTTGCCCCAGCGTTTTGCCCTATTCTGTTCCCAAGCTAACAACAGCTCCCTTTTGCGGGGAGTGGAGTCAGGTCCACATCCCTCAGGCTGTATTCCCAGGCTGTTTGGAATCTTCCTCCATTGTTTCCCCTGTGTTCCTCCCTCCTCACTCATTCTTGTGTTTGTCTCTCTGGTCCCTCTCTGGTCCTTGGATCTGGTTCTTGCCCTCCATAGACTCTAGCCCACACTCCAGGTGACTTAAGGAGCCCTGAGACTTCCACTGTTTTCTGAAAACTTTCAGGCCCCCAGTGCCTAGCCGTCTGTGAAGACTGAGCCCAGGCATACAGAGATACTTGGGGAGTCTCCACATGGCCAGGGAGATGGCTGATCTGATAAGGTGTCATCTTGGTCTTTCCTGCCTATCAGAGCTGTCTTTGATTGACAGTTGTGGGTAGCTGTGGCTTACACCAATGGTTTTGTCTTTTTGCTTTGCGGAGGCAGAACAGAAAAGATGCCGGAAGGTGAGGAAGCTGAGGACTTGGGTACTGTGGCCTAGAAGGGAAGGGAAATCCCTCTCTGCTCCTGCGGTTCATGGGGCCTCAGCCCTAGAGGTCTGGTCTCTTCCTACTTGGCTCACACAGTGTCCTTGTGTCCTCAGGGGCTTCCTGGCAGAAGGAGGGCTCTGAGCACCCTGGCGGCTCTTAGCGCTCCTCTACCTGAGAGAGGGGAGGCGTAATACTCTCCGGCTCACAGACACAGTGGAGCACCGCCCCCTCTCTGAAAGTTCTTGTGAAGCTGGGGGGCTCCAGGATGAGACAAAAAGCCGGAACGTCATTTACTCTGAGATCTGCCTGGGGGAGCAGGTCCGCCCACGTTGGGATTCCCCTGTGGCCTGTTTGCTGCTGGTGCTGGCTCCTTCTTCTCACGGAGCCTTTCTCCCAACACTTGCTCCATCTTCTCAATCACCTGGTGACAGAGACCAAGGCTGGCCTGGCCTGAGAGCGCCACAGCCTCTAGGCTGCAGCCCCTCCTCTGCAGACCACCCCAGCACCTACCTTCTCCTGGTGCCGAACAGTGTCCTCCAGGGCCTTCATCTTCTGCAGCTTGTCCTGGTACCGCTTCAGCTGTGCAGCCTGGGGCTGCTGGGCCTGGTACAGAAGCAGCAACTCCTTCTCTCGATCATTCTTCTGCAGGGTGGAGGGGAATGGGTACCTGAGAGTTACCCCAGCCACAAGGGCACATGTGGGATCCTGCCGAACCCCGCACCACCGGCCAGTTTCCCCCGCCACTGTGTGCTTTTTTTTCTGCTCCGGAATATTTCTCTGGCCTTTGCTCGGCCACACTGTCCCTCTGGCCCTTGGCTCACCCGAATCAGCTCATTCTGCAGGTGCTGCACCCTGTCTCGCAGCCTCTTTATGTCCAGTTCACTCAGCAGTAGACTCTGTTTCATGGACACTGCTGGGGTGGGAAGAAGCTCGCTGGAGAGGAGATGGAGGCAAGGGTACCCCAGCTCTGGGGCTTGACTCAGGACTGTATTTTCTGTCCCCCCCCCTTAAGTTGTACAAGCATGTCTACAGTGGGAAGGGGCAGGAGGGATGGAGGGACTCATGGGACACACAACATCCAGAGAAAGCTCTCTAGCACCCTGACAATGAGCAGTGTGAGCCCCAGGCTATGCTCAGCCCAGAGCCTGGGCCCCAACAGGTGTCCAAAGGCTCACCCAGGTTCTCTTCTTCAGCTCTGCTCTGTTCTTCTTCCATGCTCTGCTGGGTCAGTTGGTTCCTCAGCATACGGTTCTCCTCCTCCAGGATGCTGGCTTGCTTCCTCAGTGCCAGGATGTCCTCTGCCATCTTCTGCAAGGCCCGCCGGTAGTTGTTCATCTCCTATGATCCCAGAATCCTCAGCTGAACCCTTACCCCATGCCCCAACCCCCAGGATCCCGTTCTACATCTGCACCCACAGTGAACCACTTTTTTTTTTTTTTTTTTCCGAGACGGGGTTTCTCTGTGTAGTTTTGGTGCCTGTCCTGGATCTCGCTCTGTAGACCAGGTTGGCCTTGAACTCACAGAGATCCGCCTGGCTCTGCCTCCCGAGTGCTGGGATGAAAGGTGTGTGCCACCACTGCAACAGTGAACCACTCTTAACTCAGTGAGCAGTGCCAGCCTTGGGCTGTGCCCCAAGCCTTAGCGATTGCTCACAAGAGTGGTTGGGCATGGTCCCCATCTCTCCTGGAAGCATTAGGACAGCCACACTAATGTGCCTCCTCAGGGACCACAAAGATTCATATGACACCAAGGGATCCTAGGGTTCGGGAATCAGGTAAAGAAGCCTGCAACAGACTCAAAGGATGGAGCCACGTTTCCAGTTCTGAGTAAACCATATCTACTTCTTCGCCTTCTCTCTCCTTGAGCTTCCTCTTCTAACCCAACTCCTTCTCAGGAGGAGTCTCAGACTGTCCAGTGAAGCTACCTGGGGGCTGACCTACCATCAGCTTCCCAAACAGCTCAGCATCCTAAAAGAGATACCAAGCAGACTCTGGAGACTCAGGTAAGATCTCAGGGTTAAGGTCAGGATCCAGATACAAGATGGGGGAGATGCAGGAGGTGGGGGCAGGAAGCCGACTTAGGTCTGGAAACTCAATAATCATGGTGTCGATGCTCCCTGGGCTTCCCCCACATCCCAAGCCTCCTGCTAAGAGCTTTAGGTGCCTGCATTCAATCTCCAACAAGCCTATGGGATAGGTACTGTTAACTACCCCCACTTAACAGAGGAGGAAACTGAGGACAAGCCCCAGAGAAGTGAGCAGCCTACTCAGTGAGAATAATGGGTAGTAAAGTCAGGGTCTGAAATTGAAGCCTGCTGGTGCTTGAATCTATTTTTTTTTTTAACAAAAAAATCTGCCCATATGTGTATAGAACAACTGAGCTGAATTTTTGGTTTTGTGCATTTTGTGTGTGTGCGGGTGTGCCTGTGTGCATACATGTGTGTGTTCAGCCTTGGGTGTCAACCTCATGAATGAGATCCACTCCTTGGAAAAGGGCAATTTCTCATTGGCCTGGGCTCATCCCTTAGGCTAGATTGGTTGGTCAGTGAGTCCTAAGGGTCCTCCTGTCTTCACTTCCCTCATGCTGGGATGATAACCACTCAGTCACCACGCCCGACATTTACATGGGTGCTGGGCATCAAACTCAAGAGCCTGCACTTGCAAGGCAAGCAAGCACTTTACCTACGGAGCCATATCTGGAGCCCTGGGTTTGCGTGCCAATCGGATTCTGTACTGTTGTTACACGTTTCAAGTACACAGTGTCTTGAGACAAAATATATTTAAGAGAGAGAGAGAGAGAGAGAGAGAGAGAGAGAGAGAGAGAGAGAGAGAGAGAACTCCAAGATCCAAGAAAGGTCCTGGAAGATCAGGACTCAGAGCAGGGCTTGGGGGTGAAGAGGGAGGAGGCCAGCATGCTCTCTGAGTTGCCTGCGGACTTCCAGGCTGTGGGAAACTTTGCTCCTGTGGGTTGGTCTCACGGGCCTAGCCTGACTCTCAGGCCCCAGAAAGGACAACTCTACATCCAGCTCTCCCCTGGTCTCCTGCTGTCTGGTGGGGGAGGGTGTGGTCCAGTTACATCCCAGCTACAGTCTCCCACCTGCTGCGTGGTGGGGCACAGTTCTAGGGGAGGGGTCCGCAGCCAGCAGGGTCTCATCAGACACCACTTGTCACTTGTCATTGCTGTCTCCTCTTCTGGCTATGGTCCCTCTGACGGTGCCACTGCTGCCTCTGTCTCCCTAGCCTCTGCTGTGGCTTCCCCAGGTCTGCACCCATCTGGATCCTCAGCCAGGGTGCTAACTGGGACCCTGGACCTGGGACCACACACACACACACACACACACACACACACACACACACACACACACACACACTCATGCACATGCACATACTTGGAGTCAGGGACATGTGCGGAGCTCATGACCTCCTGGAGGCCCAGGTGTTACTATGAGCTCAAGTTGGGCTTGGCACATGTTGGCGGTGTGTATGTGTGTGTGTGTGTGTGTGTGTGTGTGTGTGTGTGTGTGTGTGTGATGATGACACTATTCTCAGTCTGTCTCATCTCTGCTTCAATGACTGTTCCACTCAATAGACCGTTTTCCCCCCTTTCCTTCTTACTACCTGGGCCTTTTGGCTCCCCCTCTGCCGGGTGGTCTTCACTTTATGGCACATCCCATGACTGATTGGACCCAGGGCCCAGGGCTTGGCTGGAGGAAGTCTCTGCTATTTCAGAAGAGGGGATCATCTCCTTCCTTCCCTAGCTGCTTCAACCTCTTATCACGCTGCCCTGATTACAGCAGCCCCAATGTGGTTACTGGCTTCTAAGGTGATCGCCGTAACACACACACACACACACACACACACACACACACACACACACACACATACACACACACACACACACACATTCCTGCGTACATGTTCAAGAAGACATGTTCAAGAATGCACCATTCAGCAGTTTGTAGTCTTACACTATGGCTTCTTCAGTGTCTGCTCTGGTTGTATGGAGTGTCCTAGAATTAATTGTCCTGGTACAAAGAGAAGGCCATACTCTATTGTGAAATGAAGAGATCACGTGGGAAGTTAACACAATCTTATACTTCGCTGAGATGGGATGTGAGCATGCACATATAAGGAATTTTGGGCAAGAGGTTGCCAATCCCTTGGTCCATCCCATAGGGTCTGGTCAGCCCACTTCTCATTCAGGGAATTATCGTTTTTAAGATCCCACCGTTGCCCATTTCTGCAGCTCTGGGATATGAGGGAAGTAAGCATGGCTCTGTTATGTATACCCTCCCCCATAGATGAAGAAAACAGAGAGCATAGAAACAAAGTAGAGGGCAGAGGGAGAGGCTGGCTTCTGGTGAGGTGGCCCCCTGCCTCAGCCAGCAGGTCCTTCTAGAGGAGGGTCAGTGGGTCCTGGGGACTCCACCCCTTGAAGACTAGCCCCATTTTCCTCCCTCGGCTCTTAGCCTAGCCCTGGGAGTGGGGCCTCTGTAGGGAGACAGTGTGGGCTCCCGGCTCATCCTCTCTACTCCAGCTGGTGCTGTTTCTGTGGGAATCTCAGCGGCCCCCATTTGCATGGCCAAGCAGGGACCTTGGCAGCACAGCTGGGCTGGTAGACCACAAGGCTCAAGCTGGCAGCCCTGACCTCTGACCACAGAGGTCTGCAGCCGGACTACCCTCAGGGCCATGTTCTACGTCACATTCCAGCCTTGAAAACACACAGGACACCATGCTCCAGATTCTCCTTATGATCTTGCTCTCTAGTTACCTCCTGGGGGAGGGACAGGCGTGTCCTCAGAGGCCCTGACTCAAATTCCACTGTGCCTGACCCCGAGGACCCTTCCTTCACACTCTCCTTCCCCACCGACACCCTCCACTAGGATCCCAACCCTCAGAGCCTGCCAGAGTGAGAAATGTCAGAGTGCCACGTTCTAGTTTTCCCCTGCCCGGGAGTATTGGCGGACTTTACCACATCCACAGCATCCTGTGGGCTCAGGAAGTGGGGTAGCAGTCCTTAAGCTTCAGTGCCCTCATCTGTGGGATGAGAAATCAGCCCCCGAGAACTAGTGCGACATGAGGGCAATAGGAAGGTTAGCCCTGGCCCTGGCACTAGGGTGCCTGGAGATAACAGTTCTCTTCCCTGAACCACTTAAAGGTGCTTGAAAGCATCCAAGAATGGCCCTGGGCACTGGGCCCAGAAATTCTTCTTATATAATGAGTCCCAGTTTACTGGACTGAAGCCCATTTCCACAGAGGAGGAGGGTGGGGGCTCTCTGAGCCCAAGGGAGATGCTTAGACTCTGGTCAGAACTTATGCTGAAGTCTGAAGCACATCACTTAATGGGGACCCAACACACACCTGGCTGCCACCAATTATTAATCAGAAGGGCCCTTGGACCATCACTATACAGATGGGGAAACTGAGGCTGGAAGTGGTGTGCCCCAGAGACTATCACAAAGCATCACAAATAACCCCCTTGGGTGGTCAAGGCTTGCGGAGGGCCACTATGTAAGTTCTGGGCCACGTGGATCCTTGAGCAGAGCTAAGCTAGACTGTCCCTGCCCACAGATGTTCACCTCTACACCGAGGGGGTGGCAGGCGCTTGCCGTGTCTGTGGCAGAAGGGGCTTCCTGTTTCCAGCTTAGGAAGCCTGGAAAGCTTCCTGGAGGGAGCAAGGACCCAAGCTTCTCTTAGGATATGGGTGGTACCTGGAGGTAAGGGCTTCCAAGTCCAGGAGAAATTGTGGGGAGGGGAGGCAGCGCAGCAGAGCAAGCTGGAGACATAGACTCGGGAGCTTGGCCTCTGCCGCAGGAAACTGAAGGGCCTGCCATGCAGGGCTGTAATAAGGGCTTGCTGTCTGCCAGACTACTAGGGACAGGTGGGAGTAGGGGTCAAGAGCAGCTCTAGGTGAGAGGCAGTAGGCATGGGAACAAGATGGAGGCAGGATACAAGCAGAGGGAGGGGAGACATGGGAAGGCAGTCCTCTAGGATGTGCACCTCAGGAAGGGAGCAGATGTTCAGAGTTGGGAAGCGGGGAGAAAGGAGGCAAAGGAGGTGGTGGGTGCTGAGGAGCCCTCAAGACCGGGGGTAGGGGTGCAATCGACAGAGAGGAAGACAAGCAGGAAGAGCCAGGTGTCCAAGCCAAGACCATAGGGCTCCCTGAAGAATGCTGGGGCTGTGAAAAGTAGTATGAGGCTGAGCAGGGATCTGGGTTCACTAGGCTTGCTTAACGTCCGGCCTCAGCCCCCAGGGCCCCTGCTCCCAGGCACAGGATACTGGTGTGTGGTTTGCCTTTGCTGCCGCCAGAGGGCGGCCGCCTCCCGCCAATGCTCTGCT